GCAGGGGTGCGCGGGGTTCGTGCGGGTAGCGGGCGGTTCCGGGGCGCCTCCCGCGTGCCCGGCTCTCTCCTCTGGCTCCAGGGGTCGACTGTGGAGCCCCACGACGCTATTACGACATTGCCCGACGCACCGACTGGGAAACTGAGGCCCAAAGAGGTCAAGTGGCTCGCCCAAGGTTACCCAGCGAGCGTTCCTGGGAAAAGGAGACAAGGATCGAGCCAGGAAGGGCGCCCGGGCTCGCCCCAGCCAGGCTCTGGGAAGAGGCAACGGAGCGAACCGCCCTGCTCTTTAAAGCTCCCCGGGCTTCTCTAACTTAAGTCGCGTTGCCGTCCCCTAGTATTTACACGAAAATAACGCTGGGGCGCCGTCCTTCTTCCGCGCCCGAGCTTTAAGCTCCAACATCCTGAGACCCTCCTGCTCAGAAGTCGGTTACATAAAAGCGCGTGCCCTTCTGGGTGTCTTTGTCATCTCGACTTGCTACTGGATTGTCATTCTTTTGGTCATAAACCGGCTGTGCCTGGACACGGATGAGTGAGCCTCGCAGGAGCCCGTCCCCTCCTGGGGGAGTCCCCTGGACGCACCGCCTTCAGGTGGGCCCTCTGTCCCTCTCCTCCCCCTCCCCAATCCCCCAGCAAATGCTCCCCCAAGCCCGTTTCAGATTTCCGAAGGCATGTGTAGTAAATGTCCTCCAGCAAGCCAAGGACTCAGAGTGTTTGTCCTGCCTTTAAGCGCCCACCTCAATCCCTGTCCTCAATGTCACCTTACCTGGACAGCCCTTCCAGGACTTCCCCAGAAAAACTGATCACTTGTTTGCGTCCCCCAGCAACGTAAGAGGTCATTCACAGCTGCAATTAGGCCATGAGCATCTCAAGGGCAGAGTTAGAGGGTTTTGTTTTTGTTTTTTTTTTTTTGAGGGGGGGGGTCCACGGAGTCTGGTGCATGGGGCAGGAATGTTCATTGAAGGAATAAGTCAATGGCATGCCACTCCTCAAGCCAATGACCTGAGGTCAAGTCCTCACGGCACCCCCACCTCCCCACCAGGCAACCACCTACTCTAAATGCAAATGAAGGCAGCTCTACAACCAGTGGTGGTGAGAGTAGAAATGTCAGGAGCTCTATGCTGCTCTAAGTCCCGGAGCTGGTACCACTGACCTTACTCTCAAGCACCCACCCCTGCTCCACCCTAGACTGACCTGACTCCCATTTGAGGTGCCATATGAGAGTCCCAAATAAGAATCTTCTTCACGTCTCTCTTTGGTCTAAACTTGCAAGAGGCAGTAAAATGAAACGGTTAAATGCATGGCCTCTGGAGTTGAAATTCTGGCTCTGCTACTCACTAGCTGTGATCCTTGGGCAAGTTTCTTCACCTCTCTGTGCCTCAGTTTCCTCATCTGTCAAGTGGAGATGACAATGGAACCTATTTCATCAGAGGGTCATTAGGATTAAGTATGTTAACTCATGACAAAATGCCCACAACAGTATCCAGTGTATAATACATACTTAGCTGTTCTTTGTTTTGGGTTTTTTCCCCCTGCATGGCTGCTCCGTGGGCCTTCTGAACCTTGCTTGCCTTCTCTTCAGCTATAGCTCCCTGGGACACTTGGCAAACACCAACCTGTGGTATCCTCACTGCTGGACATGGAGCATAACCCCAGCATACTGAGTGGACTTGTCACCAACACACCTCTCTTTCTGACCTGGGGCCCACAGTCAGGCTGGTAGAGAAGGAGCATGGTTGACTGCATTCCCTGCTCCCACCTGACTCACTGTGTCACCCCGATTAAGTAAGTAAGCTTACAAATGCACACCTCCGAAACTAGAATTATGCCAGCAGTTCTGGAGGGCAGTTGGAAGGATTCATGGGGAAATGTCTTCTTTTACAACTGAATGGAACTACATACCTCTGACTATGTTCTTGCATCACACGCTGGGGTGCGATTCCCTGCAGCTGCTTCTAAAGGGAGGAAGGGGGATAGGGAGTATGTGGGATGAGCCCAGGGAAAGGGAACCAGGCCCAGAAGCTCCACTGCTCCCTCTGAACACTTGATCTTGGGCTCTCTCCTTTCTAACAGCTCTTCTCCCGTTGCATCTTCCATTCAGACCTTCTGCTCCAGTGACAGTGCTAACCTTGAGGGATCGCTGTCTTTGTTAAACATTTACTAAGCGCCAGGCTTCATGCTCACAGCTTTGCATTCATTACTGTTCTCTCAACACTCTGCAGGGAAGATTCTATTTATCACCACTTACCAGGAAACTGAGGTTCAGAGTAGTTTAATATGTTGTATACGGTCCCACAGCTGTCAGTAGAGAAGCCCAGGGCCACCTGACTGAGACTCGGCCCTGTTCTCTCCCTTCCTGGTTCTGCCTTCCCAGGTAGTGATCTGGGACACTCGTGACTAGCTCTCCATCCCTCCCCCCATAAGAGGAGTTGGCAGAGACGCCCGGCCAGCAGCTGGGGAGGAGGGCTGTACACTGGGAAACTGACAGCAAAGGCACTGAATCTTCTGTTCTGGACCCGCCTTCTTCCAGAACCTTCCAAGAAGGCAGGTGCTGAGCACTGTGAGTGCCCATGTGAGGTCCTCCAGGGAGGAGGGAGATGAATGTCTCTGTGAAATGCTCAGGAAATTGTCCCCACCCACCAACCTGGCTGAGCCCTTGGCTGTGGGGCACGTCTACACCTTGCTGCTCACTCTGCTGGTCTTCATGAGATCACCATCCTGCAGACACTAACCCTCTGCTCGTTTTGAAAATGAGAAAATCGGGTCTTGGGAAAGGTGGTGGTTTTCCTGCAAGGAACTGCAGGTAGTGCTCAAATTCAAGTCTTTGGCCTTCCAGGCCAGAGATCTCTCTAGAATACACTAGTACTCACAAGCACATACTGCAGAGACTACTCTGTATACATGGGACATAGGCATGGACAAAACAGACTTCTCCAAAGTCCCTTAAGGCCAGGGGCATTTGCATAGTTTGTGGCTGCCCTGGACTGAAAGCCCTGAGCTGCCATAAGGAACTCCAGCTGCTCTTTCCCCACAGATCCACATCCGTGAGTGGCTGCTTAGCTCCAGAGACAAAAGGACACTTCCCAAACTAACCTTGCCCAATGCCATGGGGCCATCTCAGGAACCACTGCAAGTCCCTGCCACCCCAGCCCACTACCACCATGGCACTATCAGAGTCCCCACCCAACTCCTCTCTGACCACCTACTCACTCCTGGGGAGAGAAAGACAGACACTTCCCTGACCTTTACAACACTAACTGCAGTAAGGCAGTCAGTGCCACAGCGACTCAGTGTCATTGGGAGACACACAAAACGTAGGGAAGTGTGTCTATGAAGTAGTTTTCACATTTGCACAGACTTGCTCACGCTACAAGTTTCCCCTTCCTTTTGTTTAAGAAAGGTGAGCCCTATCCAAATTACCCCAAGACCCTGCAGTGCCCTGATGTGATGTCCAAGTCTGACTGTGCCAAGGGCCAAAAAGACCTCAGTTTGGCCCAAGGCTCTGCTGCTTACTTGCTGTGCAATCTTGAGTCAGCCACTCGACCTCTCTGAGCACAGAAAGAGGAGGATGCCAACCTCACAGGATTGTTGTGAGATTTAAAATGAATCATAGGCACCAGAGCATTTTAAAGCTTTTTGACTCTCCCTCCTGTCCAATCCACCAGTGTTGTTTGTGCTTCTGTTCACACTTAGTGTGTCGGGTCGTGGTCATCTGTGGACCCTTTGCCTCCATGTTGTCCTCAGCACCTGCTCACCTCCACAGCCCTGGCGCATGGTCCAGCGATTGGTTCAGAGCAAGCACCCAACATTCATTCTGGGTCCATTTCTCCTGAAATGTAGTCCCCTAACCCCACTGTTCCCCAGCCACCAGAGGCCAATGAGTTTGTCATGGAAGACAGGTACCAAGACATGGCATACCCTTACTTAGAAATCAGTCATTTATGTGTCGGGGAGGAAGACACCAAGAATGTTCACTCCGATCCCTGACTCCTGTCAGTTACAGCAGGAAATACATTTTCAAAACTTGGGACTATGGCTGAAAAGGCTTAACACAAGTTGGGGAGTGGAGGGAGACACTCTTCAAAGGTGGGGACCTTCACAGAGTGTAGCGCCCAGCGCATTCCTGGAATGCCCTCACCAAGGACTAGGTGGTCTGTCTGTGGCTCTGTCTATTTTCTCAACCTCCAGAAACCTCCTGCATTCACAGTATATAAATATAGGTGGAAGGAAACTCAGAGATCAGGTAGCTGACAAGCCACGAGTTTTTAGAGATGAGGAAACTGTTGCTCAGAAAGTTTAAGTGACCCAAAGGTATGAATAGTAAGTGGAGAGCTGGACACGTGTGCATGTGCACACACACGCCCCTTCCACCCAACCCGAGGATCAGCGGAATCGGACCTTCCAGCCCGGCCACTGACATACCTGAAGACACCTATCCTTCTGTCCCTGAATCCATGTGCCTTGAAAGTCTGTACCCCCTTCTTGCTATCTGGTGGATGGAAAGTTCAGTTCCTCTTGTCCGTTCTTTTTCACCAGAGAACGGAGCCATCCTGGCTCTTCCAGCAGCTAAAA